TGTTGACAGGTCGGTCAAACTTGTAATTCAACGAGCCAGAAGACCGACGTTGATGCACGTCGAAGCAGTAGAGGAAGAAGTAGATAGACTTCTGGAGGCCAGGGCCATTAGAGAAGTTCACTACCTGACATGGCTATCCAATACAGTAGTGGTGAAGAAGCAGAACGAAAAATGGAAGGTCTGTGTAGACTTCACCAGCCTCAACAAAGCCTGTCCCAAAGATAGCTTTCCTCTACCCAAGATTGACCAGCTAGTAGATGCCATTTCAGGACATAGAAGAATGAGCTTCCTAGATGCCTACAGGGGGTACCACGAGATAGCCATGTACCCCCCAGATGAAGAGAAGACCGCGTTCATCACCCCAAAAGGCCTGTACTGTTACAGTGTAATGCCTTTCAGGTTGAAAAACGCAAAAGCAACTTATCAAAGGTTGGTAACCAAAATGTTCAAACACGTAATTGGCCGAACAGTAGAAGTCTACATCGACGACATGGTCGTCAAGACCAAGGAGCCTGAGGGTCATCTCGCCGATCTTAAAGCAGTCTTTGAAATCCTTAAAACATATCGGCTCCGACTCAATGCATCGAAGTGTGCATTTGGAGTTGGATCTGGTAAGTTTCTAGGATACCTGGTGACAAGAAGGGGCATCGAGGCCAGCCCATATCAGATTAAGGCCATCCTAGAGTTGAAGAGCCCGACATCGGCAAAACAGGTACAGATACTAACTGGAAGGGCCGCAGCCCTGAATAGATTCATCAGCAGAAGCTCAGATAAGTGCAGACCTTTCTTCAACTTGGTGAAGAAAGCCACAGACTTCCTGTGGACCGAAGAATGCGAAGCTGCTTTGGCCGACCTGAAGAAGTACTTGACCACATCTCTAGTTCTTTCAAATCTAGAACTTGGGGAGGAGCTGTTCCTGTACTTAGCCGTTTCAGAACATACGATAAGTGCAGTACTAATCCGAGAAGAAAAAGGGGAGCAAAGGCCTGTTTACTATGTAAGCAAAACCCTAGCCGATGTAGAAACGAGGTATCTACCCTTAGAGAAATTGGCACTAGCTTTAGAGATGGCTTCAAAGAAGTTGAACCATTGCTTCTAGGCCCATAAAATTGTGGTGCTAACAGAGCACCCCTTGAAGTCCTTACTGCAACAAGGAGACCTGACAGGAAGAATAGCCAGGTGGGCAGTCACCCTAGGCCAGTATGACCTGGAGTACAAGCCAAGGATAGCAATCAAAGGCCAGGTTCTGGCCGACTTTGTAGCCGAGTTCACGACAGAATCCATCGAATATCGGGCTCCGTTGAGCCAGGATGAACGATGTCCAACCAAGCAAGGAGAAGCTCAGTCAAAGGCGAAAGAACAAAGAAAAGAGGAAAAACTCAGACCCTGCAGCATTTACATCGGCCCAGTCTTTTCAGGCCACCTCGACGTCGAGCTTTTGGACTAGGCTAGGGGACTCTTTTGTTGTTGCTTGTTTATTCTAGTTTTATTTGTACTCATGATTATTATAACTTGTAATGCTGTTATTCTGCTTATTAATATATGGTGATTTCATCGTCAAAAAAAAATAAATTTGAAAAAATATATTTGTAATTTACTAAAAAAAAAAATGATTGGACAACTTTGCTTCTTACTTACCATCACAAGGCCTGTTTTAATGGAATAGTGTTTTAATTTTTTTTATCAATATTAGTATGTTTAAATATCTTTAAACAAAATTTAACCATTAGTATGTTTAATGTTTACTAAAAATAATTAAAATATTAAAGATATGTTTAATATTGCTATTACATAGTAAACAATTGAAAAAGGGTAAAATAGTCTTTTGTTCATTTATCCTATCCAGTCCGTCCAACCAAACGTTGGATTCACTGAAAATAGTCCTATCCAGACATCTAATCCCATGAAAAAACAAACACAGGATACATATCCAATCCGACCAAATAGTCCGGGGGATTCACAGTCCCAGGACTCAAGTCCGATGGATTCTAATCCCCCCTTTTCCAGTTCGTCCAATCAAACACACCCTTAGAGAAATTGGCACTAGCTTTAGTAATGGCTTCAAAGAAGTTGAACCATTACTTCTAGGCCTATAAAATTGTGGTGCTAACAGAGCACCCCTTGAAGTTCTTACTGCAACAAGGAGACCTGACAGGAAGAATAGCCAGGTGGGCAGTCACCCTAGGCCAGTATGACCTGGAGTACAGGCCAAGGACAACAATCAAAGGCCAGGTTCTGGTCGACTTCGTGGCCAAGTTCACACCAGAATCCATCGAACATCGGGCTTTGTTGAGCCAGGATGAACGATGTCCAACCAAGCAAGGAAAAGCTCAGTCAAAGGCGAAAGAACGAAGAAAAGAGAAAAAACTCAGACCCTACAGGATTTACATCGGCGACTCCTTTCGACTATTCGTTGATGGGAGTTCAAACCGACAAAGAGCGGGGGCAGGAGTAGTGCTGATATCTCCAGATGGATAGATAGTGGAACAGTCCATTCGTTTGGGGTTCAAAGCCTCAAACAACGAAGCAGAATATGAAGCATTGATTGCAGGACTGAAGCTGGCAGTAGCAGCAAAGGCAGACGAGGTAATAGTCTCCTGCGACTCCCAGCTCATTGTCAACCAGACAACGGGCGAGCTTGCTGCTCGAGATGAACTGATGTCGGCCTACGCAAAGGAGGTCATCAGGCTGGCAGCCTTATTTCATAACTGCCGACTACTTCAGGTTAGCCGAGATGATAACAGCCACGCCGATGCGTTGGCCTACCTAGCTAGTGCAGTACAACCTGGAAAAGCAAGGACAATAATGATCAACTATTTGTCGGGCTCGAGCGTCGAACCATTGTCCACAGAGCATGAAGCAATATGCGTGGACATGGGACCAAGCTAGATGGATGCAATTGTTACATTCCTGAAAGAAGGAAAGCTACCAGACGACCACAAGGAGGCACACAAGATCAGATTGAAGTCGGCTAGATTCAGTCTAATAGCATAGGGACACCTCTACAGAAGATCCTTCACTGGACCCCTTTTGAGGTGTGTACATCCTTCACAAGTGGAAGATTTTTTATATGAAATTCATGAAGGAATTTGTGGAAGCCACGCTGGGGGCAGATCACTTTCCCATAGGGCCATTACCCAAGGGTATTGGTGGCCTTAGATGCAGAAAGATGCAGAAGCCTATGTAAAGAAGTGTGAACAATGCCAAAGGTTTGCACCTCTGATACGCCAACTAGCAGCAGACTTGAAACCTGTATCCAGTCCTTGGCCATTTGCCCAATGGGGCATGGATCTCGTCGGACAACTGCCCCAAGCAACTGGACAAAGGAAGTACTTGCTGGTAGCAACAGATTACTTCACTAAATGGATAGAAGCTGAACCTCTTGCCAAGATCCGAGATGTGGATGTGAAGAACTTCATTTGGAAGAACATTATCACTAGGTTTGGGATTCCAATAGCAATTGTTGCGGACAATGGAACTCAATTTGACAGTAAGCTAATCAAGAACTTCTGTGCAAAGTTCAAGATCAAGAACTACTTTTCAACCCCAAGCTTTCCACAAAGCAATGGACAAGCAGAAGCCTCCAACAAAGTAATTCTAGATGGGATAAAGAAGAGGTTGCAGGCAGCAAAACGAAAGTGGGTAGACGAATTGCCCAATGTACTCTGGGCATATCAGACTACACCGAGAAGATCAATAGGGGAATCCCCCTTTGCCATGGCTTATGGCACAGAAGTAGTCATTCCGCTGGAGGTCGGCATCCCTGGGATCAGAACCCAGGGGGTAGAGAACGGGACTAATGATGTACTCTTAGCCAGAGATCTAGATCTTCTAGAAGAATGAAGGGAGAAAGCTGCAATTCAGCTCGCAGCATACCAGCAACACCCAAGGGAATTTCAGATTGGTAACCTCGTTTTAAGAAAAGTCGTTGGCAACAAGAAGGATCCCAGAAAGGACAAACTTGGCCCAAATTGGAAAGGACCTTACAGAATCATCTCAGTGCTGGGCAATGGGGCGTATTGGCTTGAAGATAATGAGGGCAAAGAGTTGCCAAGGCCTTGAAACACTTGCAATTTGAAAATTTTCTATCATTAGGATTTCTTTGTTCCTTTGTCATTTGCTGAAGTAAATAAATAAAGATTTAGTTCTCTTTTCAAGATACTTGACATTGTCTCTAGAATACATGCATAATGAGAACCCAAGTGGAACTCAGGTTCACATTAAGGGGCAGAGAGAAGAAGAATATGTTTAACACTTGTTAAAATTTGTGGACAATTTACAAGTTGAAGTTAAACCGAAATCATTGTTTAACACTTGTTGAAATTTGTGGACAATTCACAAGTTGAAGTTAAACCAAAATCATTGTTTAACACTTGTTGAAATTTGTGGACAATTTATAAGCTGAAGTTAAACCGAAATCATTGTTTAACACTTGTTGAAATTTGTGGACAATTTACAAGTTGAAGTTAAACCGAAATCCTTGTTTAACACTTGTTGAAATTTGTGGACAATTTACAAGTTAGAGTTAAACCGAGATGATATCTAACACTTGTTGAAATTTGTGAACAATTTACAAGATGAAAGACTAAGGTTAAACACTTGTTGAAATTTTGAATTTACAAGGTGAAACCAAGATTACGCGGAGAAAGGTAGTTAGGTACTTGTCGATATAAATCATCAGTTTGTACAACCGAGGTGTGTTACCCCGAGGAGGTTGCACAAGGATTGAAGTGTATATTGAAGACATGCAAAAATTTCTAAGTATAGAATCATACAAGAGCAGTAAAGAGAAGACAAAGATACAAGCACTCAGAGAAGGAAAGTTGTATTAATATTCAGAAAAGGCACGTCGCTCAAAAGCTTACAATCGTTCCCAAAAAAAAAAAAAAAAAAAGAAGCAAAAGTACAAAAGATGGAAGAAAATAACATCAAAATTAAGAGTCTTCAGCAGCAGGCTGAGTTTGGACCTCGGAGGATTACTGAAAAGACATCTCGGCAACCTTCTCGGCCGTAAGTTCAGCGTCGATTTCTTTCAGGGTTTCATCTAGGCTCTTATCGGCAAGAGGAACATCGGATAAAGCTTTCTCAGGAGCAGCATTTTTGCGAACCTCCTCATCCTCCTCATCTTGAGTCAAGTCCAGGACTTGCTTATTTTGTGGAGGAGACTTGACCCCAGCAGCATCTTTGGACTTCCTTACCAAAACCTCCTTCTCCTCGGACTCAGAGTCATCCTCATCAGATTGAGCTGGAGTTAGTGTGGGAGGGAATGGAAGAGGAATGGCGTCAGGGTTTCTCAAAGGTGAGTCCTCAGGGACATTGAGCTTTTTTAGAAGGGGCATCCAACCAAGGGTGAAACCCTTGTTGCATGCCTCCTTCACTTGCTTTTCGTAGGCCTCCGTAACATCGTCCATGCCCTGGGCATACGCCTTCTCGTCGGCATCCCTAATTTCAGCCTCTTTGGTAGCCAAGGCCTCCTGCAGCTCTTTTTGGGCCGGGGCTATCTTCTCCTCGGCCTTTCTTTTTTGGGACTCAGCAACCTTCCTAATGGCCTCAGCAGAATCAAACTTCTCTTCGGCATCGGTCTGAGCCTTGATGGCAGCTTCAGCCTGGTCCTCTAACTTCTTCATTTTTGATTGAAGGCTTTTATTGGCTTTTTGAAGAGTAGAGAACTCCCTCTTCATCTCGTCCAACTTCTCCCGATTTTCAAAAGATTGAATAGAGAAAGAATGGGCATGCTGGATGGCCTAAAAAAACACAAGACAAAAGTTATTACAAAATCTTCTAAAGTACAGGAAAAGGAAAAATTGCCAGGTAAGGACACTCACTTGAACAGAGCGTTGAAGCATCAGAGCGTAATTTTCATACTCGCTCAACCCGGCGTTTCGGTCAAGATCGCCGGGGAGAAGCAGAGCAGTACTGAGGGCTCCGACGTTGATGTCCTCGACACTGTCATTGGCCATGACTGGCTTATCTTCCAAGGTAATTTTGGGGGCCTAGGGGGCAACAGGCTTTTTAGACCCCGAGGTCGTTGCAGAAGATGACCTCGGCCTTTTGGATTTGGTAGATTCGGATGGAAGCGTTTCGGCAGACCTCTTCGTAGGGACAAAGGCAGTTTTGTCACTCGGAGCTGGTTTGGAAACAGGCAAGATATCCTTAGAATCAATTTGAGGCACCTTTGCCTTTGGCTGAGCCTTTTTGATTCGTTTTGGCTTTGGAGGAGGCAGGGTTTGTGTTGGCTGAGCGTCAACATCAGTTGGAATGTTGGCCAAGAGATCTTTTGTAACTGGTTTTGGGCGACCCATGTTGGCAGAAAAAACTGTTCGGTATCGACGGCAGCTTTGGGATATGGGAATCAAGTATGGAGCCGAGGTTGACAGTATCTCAGCTGGATCAAAGGTTGACCCTTGGTCTGTCCGAGATGTGGACACAGTATGTGGAGCTGTAGCAGATGGTGGAGAAAGGCTTTTCTTCTTCCTCCTAGGGACGTCGGGTAGAGCTGACTTGTATGTTGGAATAAAATTGAGAAGCAGAGGCGCCGTTCGTTTATGGACTGGCAGGTCCAAGAGTTTCTTCAAATCCTTACTAGAAATAAAGGATTGGCGAAAGTTTTTTGGTGGCTTTGGAACAGCTGTAAGAAAAACAGACATTAAGAAATGGATAAAGTATGAAAGACTTTAAAAAACAAAGTAGGTATGAATGCAGGGCTCTTACCATTGCGCTCTACAAAGACTGATCGAAGGAGAGGGAGGAGATGGAGGTCTTTATCTGGGGCGAACTCCCAGTTCCCCGAAGTAATGAAATAATCGTCCCCAGCTCCCTTGTTGGAGTCAGGGAGGTCGGCAACGATTTTGTATTCGGTGGACCTCGGCTTGAGGTAGTAAACGTAGCTAGTGTCTTTTTTAAGGCCACACATAGTATAGCAATATTGGATGTCGGCTAATGTGATCCTAGCGTTTTCTTATTTGGCTAAGGCTATGATACCATTGATAGTTCGATAGGAATTGATGAAAAGTTGCATCGGATTCAACTTGTAATAATGAAGTATTTCACGGAAAAGGATGTTGAGTGGGAGCCGAAGTCCACACTCAATGAAGGCTACCACTGGGAAAGGCATGGAGTCATCAGTAGGCATCATGGAGTCATCATCCCTAGCCAACCTCAGATGGACGTTGGTTGAGATTTCAAACTCTTGTCTAAAGAATTTTAGTTTGGATGGGGTGTCTACCCTATGTTTCCACATACCCATGATATCGGCTTAATCAAAGGGGTTGGATTTCAGAAGATGTTTTGAAAGGGTTATTGGGACCTCAGCAAAACACTTAGGTAAATACAGGTTTCAGTTTTTTCCTAAATTGTGGGTTCTACAGACAAATCCCAAACCTAAGTCTATGAAAACGAAGATTGAAGGCACGAATCTGGAAAAGACACAAAAAACAGAAACAAGAATGAGTTTCAGAATCAAGAATAGAGATGGTCTATCAAGAGCATAAAGAATACAAGAAGTATAGGGCCAAGAACAGTGGCAAAAGTATAGGGAAGTGGTAAAACAGTGCGTGTGTTCTAGATATGGGCAAGGGCATAATCATGGAAAAAACACATTCAGATGTATGATTCACAAGTTAAAAGTTTGAACAAATGCAGTAATGGCAGCAAGTAATAGAAAGCATCAAAGAATTGAAAACGAAAGGAACAGTAAACTCACCGAAGAAAAGAAGCCGGTGTAAGGATCGCCGAAGTCAGACAATGGTTACAGAAGTAACAGAACGGCGGAAGCTTCACCAGAAGGAGGAATGAAGGCAGTTGTAGAGCTTAAGGTCTGGAACAATGGCGTATTCAAGAGCTAGAGAGAGAAAAAGTGATGGAATTGAATGAAAAGTAAAAAAAATGAAAGAGGGAAACAAGTTTTGTCAAAAACTTGAAATGGCGGCAAAAGAGGGCAATTAATGCGCCTGGGACAGCAAATGCGTTAGACGACGCATGTAGGTGCGAAACGACTAATAAGCGCGTCCAAAGTACGATCCAGTAAGGAGAAAACACGTGGCTTAACGGATGAGTTGTTATGTATGACAGCTCATACGCGTGAAGGAGCTCTTGGAATTCTTGATCTTTAAGAAGACATGTCGGCCTACGATGATGATCTCGGATTAAATCGATGAATTAGCATGAGGTACTGATATAGGTTCCATCACCTCAGAATGCGAGGAAATAGAACCTAGGGGGCAGTTGTGGGGATATATTTTCTGAGTACCAACACGTGGCTGAAGTGACGCCGACGTATTGGCCGAGGTGTCACGTGTCCAGGACATGACACCGAGGTGATCTCGGTTAAGCTGAGGTTATCTCTGAAGATATCAGAATTCGAGATAAGCGGATAAGACACGAGAGTCCTAGAAAAGGGGAAGACTATAGTTGGGAAAGGATAAGACTCTTATGGTGTGTTTGGTTGGGAGATTTGGGGAGGGATTTGGAAAGGGAAAGGGAAAAGGTGTGTGAAACTATGTGAAATATAAGCATGATTTATTCACATTTCACCTACCTTTTCTATTTTCCTTTCCAAATCCCTCTCTAAATCCCACAACCAAACACAACATTAGGGAGTTTATCCTAATCCTACTGAGAGTCCAAGATTGATAGTAATCCTAAGTCCATTAGAGCTAGGCTCCTGTTGGGACAAGGATTGAGTTAGCTATAAAAAAGAGGCACCCCCGTGGGTCTAAGGTATGTTTTTGATATCTTGTCGAGTGAGTTAAGCACTATTGATTATCTTTGAGAAATATACTGACTTGATCGTCGGAGTGCCCCCGGGTGGACGAACCACCGCCGGAATCTTCTCTTTCTGTTACAGGTTAGCCAGGTGTCATCTATTCTGCCAGTGTTCTCCAGCTGAATACTGAGTTGGGCAGTGTGATCAGAAAATCACTCACACAATAATGTAGCTCATAATAAAGACATAATTATCATCATTTTAGTTGTCAACATACTATATCTACCCTTCTTTGATCTACAAAGGATTTCAAGTTGCAATTTTGGATTGGATATATTTCTATCGAGCTTTGAGAGAGAGACAGAGAATATGGAGGGAGGGAGAATGATGAGGGAGGTTGTAATGGTTGTAATAGCAGGGTTGATTATGGGAACAATTGTAATGGGACCGGGGCAACCCAAACCTTCTTTCCCTGTTTGTTTTGGTGCATGCTATATTTCTTGCATCTCTTCCAATACTTCTTCGTTGATTTGTGCTGCCAAATGCTTCAAAGATTGCATCTTTCCACCAAACAATCCTGTTCTTCCTCCTCCAAATACACATGACTTGTGCACTTTAGGTTGTGCTTCCTCTTTATGCACCCATTTTAGTACTAAAGAAAACCCTAGTAAGTTTTTATCTCTTCTCTTTTTTAATTGAAAGAAAAAAAAAAAAATCTATACAGTAGTTCTAACACACCTCATTATCGACATGTGGAATATCACCAAACTATTTAGTAATAATCTATTATATAGGATGGTAAATTCTATTATTTGTACATAACTACAAATCTAATAGATTCTAATTAACTATCACATTTATGTCGATGACGATTGTATATTATTGGCAATTGAGTTTTTAATACAATATTGTCAGGCATTATGAAAAAAATATCATGAAATCCTTCATGAAGATTTTCTATACTTGAATTAGTTTGTAGTGTTTTATCATATATTATGCAATCACCCTTAAATTAATTTTATGAAACTGTTCATGGAATTTATTTTATGACGGATAGTATTACACTTTTTAATATATCCCCCCTTTGTTCTTGTTGTTTTTGTTTTCTTTCATCAAGTGAGGAGAAAGTAGAGAACTGCGTTGATTTTTACTCAAATAAGTGAGCCAAGAAGCACATATCGCAACGACTGTATTGACGAATAATAATGGCTCAATAATGATGTAATGATTACAACTTTTGTTTTAGGGGAAATAAAATCATACTTGGTGATATGCAAATTTCATTTCATAACTTAACTCATGAAATTCATTGAGGCAGTAAATAATTAGATAAAGAAGTTAATTGATTAGCAATTAATTATCTTCATAAAAAAAATTATGCAAATTATGTGTTAGATTTGTATCCATTTACTTTCACTGTTTAAAACACTCACCTAGTGAATAATCAAATCAAAACAACAACAAAAAAATAAAAATAAAAAAGACAAAAATAATAAATTGACTTGTATTGGCAGCTCTGTGGGTTGTTTGGTTAGAAAGAAATGATAGCTTAGGGGGTATTATGAATAAAATTTGCAAATTGGCTTCTTTTTGGGCTTCTGCATCTCCCCTTTTAAGGGAATTCCTTTGTTTTTTCACTTCTAGGAATGGGAGAGCCATATGAAGCTAGTTACGCTTCTTGTACCTTCTTTTTGTGTCTTCTTTTTATCTCTTCTGTTTGTTGGACAACTTGTCCACCTTGATTCTCCTTCTAATAATTTTATTTTTGCTGCTACTGATAAAAAAAAATGTCTATTGGTCAAGAATAGTTGCAAAATAAACACAGTTCCATACACTCAAGTCATACTCTATCACCATTAAGTACTTAAGTTGTTTGATTGCTTGGTAAAAGGGATAAAACAAGGAACCAGCACATAATGAATAAATAACATTTAATAATACAGTTGCCTGCATCACCTGGCCTATACTTGCAACAGC